GCTTTAAATCTAGATCCAGTAAAACAAAAACAAATAGGAATTCATACTCTACAATCAAATGTTTCTACTGCATGAAGAAAGGGCATTCAGTAAAATACTGCAGAATTAAAAAGTATGCTATTCCTAAAGGGAGAATGAAATGGGTTCCAAAGATTAATTCTTTTCAAATAACATGATCAGGACCCAATAATTATAAAGGGTACCAGAAAAATACTTAATTGTTTTGCAGGAACAAGTCTGGGAATCCCTTGAAGATCAGAGCTGCGAAACCAGGTTCTGTGTATTTAAATTAATTGTTTTAATTGATATAAATCAATATTAATCGATTAAAATAACTTACTGATATCTGTCCGTACCATTTTAATCGATTGAAATATCGAAATAATCGATTGAACTGATCTCAGGATTTTGGTTTAATTGTTTTAATCGATTGTAATATCTGTATATCAACTAAAAACACTTAGGTATCAAAATAATCGATTCATTTACGTTTTAATCGATTTAAATTCTGGTGTCATGTTATTGATTTCATTCTGTACCTATACTAATCGATTCTTTCATAAAACAATCGATTAATTCACTGTAGATGTTTTCAACCCTAATGTCAAGAATCAAATTAATAGATAATGAGTTGATTAATCAATTAATTAGGTTCTGAAAACATGATTTACAGCATCTAATTAAAGTTTGATAGGCCAATTCGATTAAAAAACCCAGGTCTTTATGATAATCCAGAATCTGCATAATGTGTTTAAATGTCTCTTTGAATTTCAAAAACTTGAAATCCGTTTCTTCATCAAACCAGGTTCTGAACTTATCATTTCTCAACTTATCATCTTTCTTCTGTTTTCATATTTTCAAAATCTCCTCTCAATTCTCTGCTGTAAACATGATCAAAATCATGACTGGTTCGAGCAGTCTGTTTCGAAACGTATCCATATTCAATTTTCTTTCAATGACACAAATTTTTAAATTAGAAAGCGAAGGCTGAACAAATCTTTGAATTGGGAACTCGACCAGTGACATAATGTGGGAAAACTATTACTGTTATTCATGAATGAAAGAGTCTTTTATTTTGACAACAACATAAACATGATTCAAGCTGTAGATGTTTACATTTCTCTTAATACTTTACATGGAATGCTGCATGGTAATACACTGAAAATCAAAGAAATTATCAAAGAATAGACTGTAACTTTTCTTATAGACACTAGTTACAAACAGGTCAAACTGTTAGGACTGAAAACATAGTTGATCAAAGATTCTTTTGGTGATAGTTGATTCTGGTAATAAATTGTTGATTACTAGGAAGTTCAATGAACAAATGTTTACATTAGATTTCTTGATATTACCTAGCAATATTTCTGAAATAATCTTGAGCATGCATTGGTTCAAAACTCTTGGTGAAATTCATTGAACTGTGCAACCCTGATAATTTGCTTTAATCATCAATGTCACGAGGTGACACTGCAAGGGAACCAATCTGGGACAGCAATTCAAAAATTGAATAACGTGGCACAGGGAATGTATGTTTTATGGTCAGTACAGGGATAAATTTTATATTGTTTTAGAATTCTGGATTGATTGTCATCACCTGTCCTCATTACTAATCATTGCCCACTCTACCAGAATAAGTTTTTTGTTAATCACTTGTGCATATGATACCACTGGAAACAACAAAGTTAAAAATGACTCATTCCTCAAAAGATAATGATGACTGGTTCACTATAAGTGAGAATAACACCCATCATACTACATTAATAAAAATACAGTTATTTGCTTGGATAATGATAACTGCAGGGTTCAAAATGGGTTGGCTATTTTGAAAGGAAATTCCTATCTCAGTACATCATTAATCTGTGATTCATGCAATTTATGGTATCATGCACTCTGTGTGGAATCTGATAGTGAATGTACGTCTGTCAGTACATGATTCTGCCTCAGATGTGTAATAGTTGATGTTCCTAAAGAAACATTTAATTCCATTGAGTGTCAACCATGGACTGTAATGCAGTCAATAGTAACAGTAAACTGCTAAAAGATTTCTTTTCAGGAAAAGTTTCTGTGTCTGTTACTGATACAGGAAAGTCAGCTGTTGTTGAATAAATGGTTGATAGAGCAAAATCCGTTCCAGCGAAAAGTGGTTGAGGATCAAATGACTGAGTCACGTATTTTGGCATCTGACACAAATAATCAGGGAAATAAGAACAAATTCGTTTACACCAAACTGGAGGATTTGCAACTAAACCAAGGAAATTGGGATAATTAAATATTGGTGGATAAACAGGGTCCCTTCTTACCTTTCCTTTATATCTTATCCCTTTTGATGCTAATTTCAATTTATGATCTGTAGTATCACTGGTTATTAAACAGAAACAATATTTTTAGCCTTGATTTATATAATGAAGGTTTAAAGTTAATCTAGATAGAATTTAAATAGATCCCTGAGAGCTTTAGCTAAATAAGATTTTATTCTGATGGATCTATTAGCTAAGATTTAATCAATATAGCTGTTAGTATTGTTAAAACATCCTTCTAAATGATCAGTTTTACAAAATATGCATTAAACATTACTTCATTTTCAAAACTGATTGTTTTAATCAATACAACATCTTGTTAATCGATTAAATGAACTTATTCAACATGTTTTAATCGATTTAAAATCGAAATAATCGATTATTTTTACTAAAGTTTCATGTTTTCAAAATCTTAAATGTTTTAATCGATTAAACTTTTCTTTCAATCGATTAAAATCATTTACCAAGAACATTTTAACCGATTATGCTCTGTTTTTAATCGATTTTTATTCTGAAAAGAGGATTAAAGGCTTTAGTTAATGGCTGTTCCTGTAACATGCTACTAAAGCGTGATTCCCTTATCTTTACACGTGTTAATTGTATTCATTACAAACGTGTTAATGGAGATAAGCTTGAATCAACTTTAATTGATTCTTTTCATGAGTGAAATATTGATTTACTTTGTATTTTCAAAAACTTGAGCATATTTTCGAAACCTTACATTTTTTTTCTCTTCTATTCCCTATTTTTGATGAAGTCAAAAGGGGAGAAATAGTTGCATCACTTTAAGATAAATTTAAGAGCAACATTTTAGGGGGAGAAATAAGTTTTAGGGGGAGAAATAAAACTTTATTACATTCTTATATTTCTCACCTAACTGCATTATCAAGTGACTTATTTTGCAGAGATTGTTTTTTCAAAATGGTGTTTGTCTTCATCAAATAGGGGGAGACTGAAAGTGATCCTAGCAAAGATCTCATTGATTTGATGAAGTCAAAGATAAAGTCAAGGGTCAACTCTGCAGCAGTCAAACAAGTCACTCAGAACAAAGGAGCTGAAGACTTAGTGTGTCTAAACAGAAAGCTTAGGTAAAACCACTTTACCTTTTCCACTGCATAAAGCTTCTTCACTCAATTTGCAAAATGCCTCAAAAATAGTTTTAAACAAATAAAAAAAACAAAAAGCATTTTGGCAAAGAATTTTCTTAAACAAGTTATTAACTGATAAAGGTTTGAAAGAATCAATTTAAAACACTTAGAATGTTTTAAAAAGTGTTTTTACAATATTTTAATCGATACAAACTTCTTTTAATCGATTAAAACTCTTTATGACCGATTAGAATTCGAATGTAATAGGTCAGAATGCAATATAATCGATCAGATCTTAAATATGAGCGATTAGAATTATTTTAATCGATTAAAACACGTTTCAATCGATTAAAATCACTTTGGATGTCAGTATGATCGATCAGAATGAGATTATGACCGATCAGAGTTGGTTATGATCGATCAGAATTGAATTATGACCGATCAGACTTATTTCAATCGATTAAAACGCATTTCAATCGATTAAAATAACTTAGAAAATCTTTTCAATCGATTAAAACGAACTTTCAATCGATTAAAATGACTTGAAAATATATGTGCAGATTTTCAATCGATTGAAACGACTTTATATCAGCTAAAATAACTTGGAAAGTTTTATAAAGAGGTTTTTAAACAAATCAATCGATTAATACGTGATTCAATCGATTGTTTTATACTTAGAAAATGTTTGTAAAACGTTTTAACTGATAAAAACGTGGTCGTATCAACTAAAACATTTTCTGTTAAAGATCAAGAACGCATTAATGGGTTGAAAGGACTTTTAACAGATTGTAACGGCTATTTCAACAGATTAAAACAAACTTTCAACAGATTAATTAATGCAGCAGATTTGAAAATACTCTTTTATAAACAGATTTGCTTGAAACTTTGAGATATAGATCATACATCAGTTTTTACACAATTCAAGCAATCAATACAAGCAACTATTAGCATTTTTCAAGAAAGATACACAACTGTTTTTGTGAACTTCTTTTGAAATCTTTCTTGAGGCACTTTGCATCCTTGAAGAAGAAACTTACTGTGGATTGGTGTAATCCGGTTTGAGCTTTCTAAGTCTCTTCTTTGTAAATTCTTTTTCATTACTTTGTATTGTGTTGTACCTGGAATTTGGGTACAAGTTTTCTGCAGCTGTTGTAGAAAGTTGCCAAGAACTGGAATTTGGTTCTTGGTGGAAAGGTTAAAGCAAGAGCTGGAATTTGGTTCTTGTGTGTGGTGCCTGGAATTTGGGCACTGGTTTCTCTGCGGCTGGAATTTGGTTGCAGAGGTTTCCAAGAGCTGGAATTTGGTTCTTGGTGGAGAGTTAGAATAGGTGTAAGAGGGTGAGTCTGTAAAACATCTATTCTAGTGGAACCCAGCTGGAATTTGGCTGGAGTCTGGATGTAGCCCTGGTATTGGGTGAACCAGTATAAAATTACCGGTGAAATCTTTCCTAACCTTTCTCTCTTTAATTTCTGCTGCTGCACTTAAACTGTTTGATTGCTTTGTGATTTGTGAATTGATAAGTAATCTTAATTTTCGAATTAGATAATCTGTGTATTGCGAAAAACTTTCAAAAATCAATTCACCCCCCCTCTTGATTTAAAACTACTTTTCTAACATTAGTGCATTTGCAATGTCACCAACATTACAGCTTGGCCTCATGCGTTTCAGAATCCCTCCCCCCACCACTTCTTTTCTCGTGACCACATTGGGTGCTTCCTTCAATGGCAGAATTCTAGTTTGGCTTTTTATTTGACTTGAATTGGAGAATTTTAGTTTTCTCGTTTGGTTTTTGTCTTTGTTAACAGAACATAACACTACGTATGCTTACCACTTTCGTTGTCACAAAAGTTCCCGAAAATGAAAGCTTATCTAATTTAATATAATAAACATCATAAATGAGTTATCATATAAAAAAGATCATTCATAACAATCTAACTTCAAATCTTTTACTTCACACACTTTTTATCTTAATGGTTGATTAATAAAAAAAAATGTAAATAGGGTTAACTCAGTTAAAGGAAATAACATCAGTTATATATGTTATGTTATTGTTTAATATAACAACATTTAACGGTTTTCTCTTCAAATTTTATAAAAAGTTACTTTTAACTGAAAATATATGCCATCTTTATTGCCTAACCTTTTTTGTGGATTTTCTAGTATGAAGAACTAACTTAACTGACTACGTTTAATGATGGTATTAATGCATAGATGCATGCACGCAATGAAATTAGTTGATAACCCTTGGATACTGTTAAATTTTTAGTATATGGTATTTGTAATATTTTTATTTGATTTTGAATAATATTAGTTAAATAAATAAAAAATAAATTATGGATAATTTTATTTTGTAAATAAATTTTCATCATTTTATCAATATTATTTCTTTAAAAATAGACCTAATTTCATTTTTATTTATATTTTCAAGTGTCTTGTTATAATTATTTCAAAAATATTATATTTGAGTTTTTATTTTAATCTTTAATCAACTGTAAAATAAAATTATTTTAATATTTTAATTTAACTGAAATGTCTAGATTTCACAATTATACTTTTACAAATCCACTTTTAATAAAAAAATTTACACCCGCATAACTTTTCTTGAAATGTGATACTTAAAATAATTTTATATAAGAAGTTAAAATTAATAATTCAACCGTTCAATTTTGAAATTATTATAATTATTTATATTAAAGGTTTAAAATAATAAGTTAATAATAGGAGCCACGAAATACACTAATTATAATTATAATATATTACAAATCAATAATTAAACTTAACTCTCTCTCTCTTTTTAAGTTAATATCAACTCCTATTTTTCGGTATTTACTCTCTAACACTACCATTAACTCTTAATTTAATTGTCTGACAGATTTTCAGATTATAATTAAGTTTCTAACATATTTTCATTATCGAATTTTCAAGTAATAGTCAACATTTCCACAGTTTTCTATATTGGTAGCTGATACAGTTTATTTCTATAAAAAATTTATATGGAAACTAACATGTTTAGAAACCTAATAATTATAAAGAAAATACTAAATTTGACTATGAGATTTTAAGACTTTTTCTTATGTTTCATTTTATGTTTTTTTTACCAATTTTATTTTATAAATTTGAGTTAGATTAAACTTATTTTATATTATTTAGTACAAATTATATTCACATAATTATATATATATATATATATATATATATATATATAATTAGAAAATTAATAACTAAAACGATATTATTAAACTTGAACCTCGGCTGAATTTCTTCTTATGAGTATGTTTACTATTAGAATTTTATGTTATTTTTTCTGTTAATTTTTATCTTACCATCTTACCAATGTATTTTAGTTGATTAAGATAATAAATCATTTTCTCTATTATATTAAAAAATATTTTAAAAATAAATAAATCACTATTAACATTTTTAAAGTAGATGAACTTATATAAAGAGGTAAATAAATAAATTGCATATAATTTTAATTCTTAGGCTATGAGATAAAAATAAATATTATTCTTATTTTTTATATATTTATTAAGTATAATTTTTTATATTTTTATTTATTTTACTCATTATTTTAAAATAAGAATTGAAATTTATTATTCTTTATAATTTAATTATTATTTTAAATCATTAAATTAAAAAAATAACCATATATATAATCATTAAAGTCATAATCTCTATATATAAATATTTAATTACATATATTTTCATAATTCTTAAATCATGATAACAAAACAAAATTTGTCATTTAATTTTTATTTTTCTCATACTAATTTTTTTTTTTTCTCAATTATTCATTCTCATATTGGGCAACTAGAGTAAAAGATGGATGAAGAAGCATTTGTTTAGGTTGAGCTCACGTAACTCCCCACCTACTCAAACTATGCGGACCAACCCCCATCAAGTTCAATGCAGATATCCGAACCACCACCCAATCAGGTCTAGTCTAAACAAATACTCGTTTAGACAAGTTTGTTTGATTTTTTTTTAACTAATTATAAATATCATGTTTTAAAAATTATTTAATAATTATAGTAGATGAATGAAGACCACATGTTAGAACACAGAACTAAGATGTCTCTTCTAATAAATCTGATGTGTTATTTAATTCAAAAACAAACATTAGATCTTATAGTTTTATAATTAACGAAAAATAGTTTCAGTACCGTTAACAGCAAGATTTTAGCACCGTATCCCTAAAAAAATAGGTCATCTGACCATATTATTTGAATAAAATATAAATACATTTAATTAAAAAATCTAGATTAAATTAATGTTAAAATTGTTAATAATTTCTCTCTTAAACTAAATAGAATAGTATTTAGTTTAATTTTGAAGCTTCCAACATGTAGAAAAGGGTAGTGACATTGATCCACAAGAAGCACAACAAACTCTTGAAATAGTAGAAACTAATTTGAATAAGGTCGAAGGCAAGAGACAAACAATTAAGGCAAATCTAGCTCTTAGACGAGCTAGAACACGAGTAGAAGCTATCAATGTGATTTCATATCAAGTTGATGCGTTCGAATACAATAAAAATAAAAAAGAAACGTTAAAAAAAAAAGAATCAGTGGAAAAGCTTATTAGATACCAAAGTCAAAGGTATCTAATAAGTTCGAACTACACCTTACCTACTATTGGATTTGAACCAATGACTCTTGCCGTATGAAAATAATACTCTAACCACTGAGTTAAGTAGGTAATTTATGACTCCCCCTAAAAAAAAAAGAATACTCATCTATCATATCAATTGATTATAAATGTAATCTTACTTATAAACAATACCAACGCAATATCCATTCAAGAGATTCAATCATGTAATAGTTATCTTGACAATAAATTAAATTATCTTCATACTACGATAAAATATGTATCAAAAGCACAAGGCTTGTAGCTCAGTTAGGTAGAGCACCTCGTTTATACGAGTGCCAATGTTTTTTTTCAGAGGAGTTCATCTTGTAATCAAGTTTATCTTCTAGTAAGAGAGGCTTGGTCATTATATCAACAATTTGAATTTGGAAGTTTCAGTAACTCAACTTAACAGTTCCATCTTTCAGCAAGTCTCTTAAAAAATGAAAGTTTAATGTTTATATGCTTGCTCCTCCCATGAAACACTGGATTCTTTGATAATTGTATAGTTGAATTGTTGTCACATAGAATCAGTGCACTCTTTTGATCTTCAAGACTTAACTTCTCCAACACCCTTTAAATTCAAATGCATTGACATGCACAAGAGGCAACAACTATGTATTCCGCTTCTGTGGTGGATAAGGTGATTACTGGTTGTTTCTTGGAGGATCAATAAATTATTCCTGCATCAAGTAGAAATACAGAACCAGAAGTACTTCTTTGATCATCTACATCCCCCGCAAAATCACTATCAGAATATGTCATAACCTTAGCATTTTCTCCCTTTTTGTAGTAGATACCTAGTTCAGTTGTTCCTTTCAAGTACCTTAATATTCTCTTGGCTGCAAACCAGTGAGATTCAGTGGGACTTGACATGAATCTGTTGATCAAGCTTACTCCATACATTAAATTTAGTCTAGTTGCAGTTAAATACATAAGATTGTCAACTATTTGTTTGAACAAAATTGCATCAACCTTGGTGCTTGTATCATTTTTTGATAATCTTATGCCAGGAACAACAGGATTATTTACTGCATTGCAATTTTCCATGCCAAACTATGACAATACTTCTTGAGCATTTTTCTTCTAACATATAAAAATTCCACCTGAGTTCTGTATAACTTCAACTCCTAGGAAATACTACATTTTTCCTAAATCTGACATATCAAATTCTGACATCATGGACCTTCTAAACTCATTACACATACTCTCATTGTTTCCAATGTATATTAAGTCATCTACATAAAGATTAACAATTAAAAGTTTACCTCCCTCCCTTGATTTTGTAAACAAGGTATGTTCACAAAGACATTTATCAAATCCATTTCAAACAAAATAAGCCTCTATTTTGTTAAACCAAGCTCTTGAGGCTTGTTTAAGGCCATAAAGTGTCTTTTTCAATTTATACACTTTCTCTTCGTCACCCTTTTTCACAAAACCATTGGGTTGCTACACATAGATCTCCTCCTGAAGTTCACCGTGAAGGAAGGCACTCTTCACGTCTAGCTGAAAAACATTCTAGCTACATTGTGCTAATATAGATAATATTAAGTGAATGGTGTCAAGCTTGGCCATCGAAGCAAAGATCTATGTGTAATCCACTCCATATTGTTGAACATATCCTTTTGTTATTAGCCTGACTTTGAACTTGTCTACTTCTCCCCTCTCTTTAAATTTGGTTTCAAAGATCCATTTGATCCCTATTGGCTTTACTCCTCTTGGCAAATCAGTAAGCTCCCTAGTCATGTTCTTCTCTATTTATTCCATCTCTTTCACCATTGCATTTCTCCATTTCTCACTCTTAATAGCTTCCTCCTCAAATGAGATTGAATCATCCTCGGCGACCATCATTATATTTAGGCCATCATCATCTAATAGACCTTCTCCTTTTTCGTAATTTGTCATCCAAACTGGCTCTTTCCTGTTCCTTCTAACCCTCCCTACAACTGGAGTCTCATAATTAACAATATGGGAGCATTAGGATAAATATAAGTACCTACAGATCTGTTTTCAACATCCTCATTTTGATTCTCAGTTTCTTGAGCACTAGTACTATCCACAACATCCTCCTCAGAATGTTCTTTGGGGTCACTCACATATTCTTCATTATCTTCCCACTCTAAGATCTCTGGTTGATGTTCTTCCATATTTTTCTTCCAATTCCAGCCCTTTTGTTCCTCAAAAATCACATCTTTGCTGATTAAAACCCTTTTATTGTTAGGGTCAAACAATCGATATGCCTTTTATTCATCACATACTCCTAGGAGAACACATTTCTTGCTTTTGTCATCCAATTTTACTCAGTGTTGATATGGTATATAGACATGAACTAAACATCCAAATACTCAAAATTAATCAACAATTGGCTTTTCTCCACTCTATGCTTCTTTAGGAGTTTTGTCTCGTACAACAACTATAGGACTCCTGTTGAGAATGAGAGCACACCATCTTGCAGCTTCAGGCCAAAATAATTTGGAAACCTGTTTTCCAATCAACATAGAATGCACCATGTTCATAACTATTTTGTTTTTCTCTCAACAACTCCATTCTTTTGTGGTGTGTAGGTTGTTGTTAGTTTCCTACGTATACCATGACTTTTTACAAAATTCATCAAATTCATTTGATGTAAATTCGTCTCCTCTATCTGTTCTCAAACAACCAATGTTTCCACCAATACTTTAAACTTTTTAAAGAGTGAAAAGGTTTATGATTTCTCATTCAAGAAATAAAGCCAGGTTTGGCGGGAAATTTTATCTATGAAACTTAAAAAATACCTTTTGTTGCTGCTTGATATTAGTTTGATAGTGCCACATAAATCTGCATGTACAAGTTGAAGTTTATTTGATGCTCTCCACAGACTTCTCCTAAGCATAGACTTTTAGTGTTGCTTCCCAACCAAACATTGAGTATAGAGTTCTCTTGGAACTGTGACAGTGGGCAATCCACCCACCATTTGTTTAAAGGAAAGTGTTTTCAAGCCATTGTAGCTTAGGTGATTGAATCGATTGTGCCAAAGTTGTGAACTACCCTCTTGTACCATTTGGAAGCATGTTGAATTCCATGTTGCCTTGGTAGCTCTTAGTACAAACATCCTATTTCCCTTCATATTTATCTCCATAATTTGCCCTCTTTTAGGATGAAAAACTTTACATTTCACATTTTGAATCACTATAGATAAACCTTTATCCTGGAGTTGTCCTATGCTTAGTAAGTTGTTTTTGAGTTCTGGAATGTAGAACACATGTGAAATTACATGTGTAATTCCATTAACATTCAACTGAACACTTCCTTTCCCTATAACAGCCATGCAAGTGTCATTGTCAAGTTTTACTGTGTGTCGAAAATTCTCATCTAATTATGAGAATCAGTCTTTGTTACCACTCATATGGTTACTACATCCCGAGTCTAAAAACCATTCCTCTTCCTTTCCTTGCTTAAAATCAAGGTATGCCATTAGCAAGAGCTCATCCTTCTTATCTACCTCATCTTCCACTTTTGCATAATTCATAATTTTCTCCCAGGTAGGACATTCATATTGAAAATGTCTAAGTTTGTAGCACTTAAAACATTCAATTTCAGCTTTATTGAATGTTTGTCTTCCTCTTCCTCTACCACGAAAAGAACCCCTTCCCCCTTGCTCCTCTTCTGTCTCTTCCTCTTCCTCTCCTATCTTCATCTGTGACTATTCCACCTCCTCATGACACACCATCCTTTGCTCATGAAAGACTGCTTTGTAGTTCATCGATCATAATAGTATCCAAGTTGTTAGATTTTTCAATCGAACACACAACATAATTAAATTTAGGGATCATGGATCGCAAGATTTTTGCTGCAATAATGTTCTCTCACATGCTTTCTCCACATGCCTTCATACTTTTAGAAATTTTCAAGGTGCGGGCAAAGTATGAATCCACAGTTTCATCTTCTTTCATCTGTAGCATTTCAAAGTCTCGACGTAAGGTTTGCAATTGTGCCCTTTTCACCCTTGTAGAACCTTGAAATTTCTGCTTCATTGAGTCCAAATGTCTTTGGACGTCTTGTCATTAAGGATGGTATCTAGAATCTCACTGTTAATGGTTTGATATAGATAGTTCTTTATCTTCATGTCCTTCAATTTTTGTTCTTCCATGACCTTCGATTCATCTTTTGATGCAGTTGTTGAAACAATTGAGATTTCGCCCTTTACCAAATGCCCAATACTCTTTAGAGCGAAGAAAATTCTCCATGAGTTTCGCTCAGTGATCGTAATGACCATCAAACCTAAGAATTGCAGGTTGCACATATTTGATGTTATTTGATTCTGTCATGTTTCTTCTTCTTCTTTTCTATAGAGATGATTACAGGTCTCACTCTTACAACTATTTGATCTCTCACACTCAGAGGTGACAGATGGGTCACACACTCACCACTGTTTTTCTCACACTTAGTTATGTTATGGATCAGGCCCTATGAAAGAGTTCTGATACTAATTGTTGAACACAAAAGTAGAATGTCTCTATTTTAATAAATATGATGTGTTATCTAATTCAAAGGCAAACGTTAGGCCTTATAGTCATACAACCAACAAAAAGCAGTTTCAGCACCTACTAACAACAAGCATATGTCATAGATGGTGAGTTTAAGTTAGATTTTCACATTATTTCTCTCAAAAATAGATCAACATCTAACCACGTTATTTGAACAAAACAAAAATATATTTAATTAAAAAATTTAGACTAACTTAATGTTAAAATTGCTAATAATAATGATTATTGATAAAAATAATAATATTCATTAATGAATTAAAAAACACATTTTATAGATATTTATCTTATTTAGTTTATTTCAAGAAAACAGATTTAAAAAAATAAAAATAATAACATGGACTACAAGAAAAACTCATGACCACAATTAGCAATTGATTTTAAAAATTTTACAATAATAAAAATAAATAATTTAATGTAACTATTAATAAAAATATTGATATTTATTAATAAAAATAGATAATTATTTTTTTAAAAATATTAGTTTGATTTTTTAGTCTTATAAATTAAAAAATAAAAATAATTTGTTTAAAATGATAAAAAAAAATTTAGTTATTAAAAATTAAAAAGTTATTTAAAAAAGTAAATAAATTTGAGTTTTATAATTTAAAAAAATTTAAAAAATCAGTTTTTTAAAAACCTTTTAGTGAAAAATTTTTCAAATAAGTTTTTTATATTTTAAAATTACAAAATTAAAAACTAATTTTAAAAATAACAAAGAAATATATTCTAAAATTTATTTATTTTTATTTATTGTCTAAAAAACCCTAATTTGCATTGCGAGTGAACTTTTTTGTTAACTAAATGTGAGTGTGTTCAAAATGGAAAATACCATTTTATTATTTTAATTCTTACATCTAATTTTAGACATCACAAATTTATGCGTTACAGTTTACAGTTTTGTTATCCAAAATTTGTTATTCCTATATTGTATTTAAATGAAAATTAATATAAGAGGAATGAATATATAATTGAAAAACGAACACAATCAAAATATTTAATTGGAGAATTATACTCCTACTCTTATTAAAAGAACATTTTTATAAAATGTTTTCGTTGTTTTGTCACTGTCAAATTGAAGATGTAGGGTCATTCACTTTCAATTTAAGATTTAGTAACCTTACATTCCCTTTCATTCAAACATCTAGCATGGATCATATTTTTTTATGGTTTTATAATAATAAATAATAATATTTAAAAATAATAAATACAAATTTTAATAATAATTTTTTATTAATGTTTTGGATATTTCATAATTTTATTGTCAAATTTTCATTTAATAAGTTATAAACATATGATTAAAATTTTAATATTTTTCAAAAGTTCTAATATGTTATAGTGAGTAATTTTAATTTTGTTTAAAGATATTTTTAATTTTAAAACACAATATTAATATTTTAATATTTTTAACTTTATTTTTTAATTAATATGTGAAATTAATTTTTATATTATCTATAACTAATTATTTAAATAATTTAATATTTTATAATTAAGTATTTAAGTCCTTTCAATTTTCACAAAATAATTATTTTATATTTAATAATTTTTAATTCATTTTTTTATAATTCATTAGATTATCCAATTAATATTTTTTTGTTCATTTAATAATATAATTTTTCCATTTTTTGTATTTTTTTAAATTAAAATAATTTTCATTTTTTTAATATATATATATATATATAGAGAGAGAGAGAGATATTACTCCCTCAAATTTATCCCAAGCACAAAAGTTGAATGACATGAATTTGTATAAAATTATAAATTAAAATTTTAAATGTAAATGTCCAGAACATAATTATTATATGTTTATCAATGCTCAAAATATGTAGGCATTTAATTATAAATTATTATATGATTAAAAATTGTTTTAACAGTTGTTTTATGAACTCATTAACATTACTTTCATTAATAAACATATATTATATATATATATATATATATGTATATATATTTTAATGTAGAGTAATTATTTTATGAAATAAATCAGTAATAGGTTATGTGTAAAATGTTGAGAATTTAGATATATATATATATATTTTTATAGTTTCTTTAAAACTTCAAATTGACAATTTTTTGTCTAATCTATTTCCTTCAAATTTTAATAATGGATGTGCGGACTAGTCATAGTTTATATTGCAACAAAGTTATAAGTTGAACTCTTATGATTGTTATAAGTTTAAGAAATAAAAAAATGTGCAATTTAACTTCTTTATTTATTCTCAATGAAAGAAATTTTATAAAAGAATAAATATAATGATTTTATGTATTTTAAGAAAAATATATAAAACTAAAATGAAATTAATTATTATCCCTTTTATGATAAAATATAATTAAATATAATCAATTATATTTTTATATATAATTAATTATATAATATTTCTTTACATAGATTATATATATAAAAATATAAATAATTATATTAAAAAACTAATTAATATTTTTTTCTATTATTATTATTATGATTATAATCAATAATAAAATAATTATATTAAAATAATCAATAATTTATATATATATATATATATATATATATATATATATTTTACAAACTTTATTTTAGTATTTTTACTATCAAATTTATTATTTTATTTCTTATTTCTAAAATATGTTATTTTAATTATTTTTAAACCTAAATTTAATATTTATTAATTAGTTTTTATTATCAAAAAATTCATAAAATAACTAAATTTATAAATGATATTATTTTTATATTTTAATTTAATATTTAATAAAAAAAATTTCATCACAAAATTATTAAAAAATTAATTTAATGACTTTATTTAAAAAACCGAATAATAACTTCCAAAACATGAAAAGTAAAATTAAATAAAAAAAATATATAACAAACAAAATCATATTTAACCCAAACAAAAATAATTTTTGACAGGCTCCCTCTCCGCAACTCTCTTCTTCCACCTCTGCCTCTTGAACAATCTCTCCAATTCTTTTTCTTCTTGGCTGGTCTTCGCCGCCATGTAAATTACCTTCCTCCATGTCTCATTTACTATCTCTCTATCTATCTTATTTTCTTTAATCTCTATAATTGGAATCTTTCTGCTTGTCTTGTGTTGAGTTTGGTCTGGTCCGCTTGTTCTGTCACACTCTATTTTCGATTATTGCATTACCTTTTTCACAGTTTTTGTAGTTGTCCCTTTTTGTATTTTTTGTCAATGTTATGGCTGGAATCCCTTTTTGAATTCTAAGAACTGTGTGTACTTTCGTCAAATGCCTACTCCTTCTTTAAATCATTCATTTTGTATCTTCTACCCTAGCCTAAGTCTGCTACACATTGCTTCACCCTTAAAATTCATTCTTTCTTTTATGATCTGATCCTGTTCTGTTACAAATTCATGAATGCTAGTGACGGATGACTAATGTCTCTTTCTTTACCAATAGTTTGCATCTATATAAATTATTCTATATTTTTTTTGTAACGAATCCACCTATCTAATTCTTAAATTCAAGAAAATTGATGTATCCTCAATTTATTATTCAGTTTGACAACTCTGGAGGACTAGTTAACTCACTATAATGTATACATATGATACCGTACGATATGCTCATTTCTTGTGTATTATGCTACACTCCTGAAACCACGTGGGAGGTTGGAACAATTATATTTTGTGATGTATTTTAATATGAAATCTTGCAATAATGACTCTCCTTATCTTCTTGCTTAATTTATCTTTGTCTTAACTTACCCTAATGCAATTATAAATCTCAGAATCAATTGAAAAACTTTCTTTTTATATTTTGATATATATATATATATATATATATATATATATATATATATTAGTTTTACTTTTGATTGTAGGTATGCAACAAATACCAATTAAAGTTCCTATGTTTGATAATGTAAAATATTTTTCTGTACTAACCTTGCTATCAGTGCTTGTCCATTTTTATTTGGGGATCAAACAACAAAAACACTTCAGTTAGGGTTTCTGATTTGCCATGGCTGATTTTTTGACCTCTACTCACCGGGCAAAGTGGATTTTCTCCTCTCATCAGCTGGTAATTTTTTCGCTTCTGCCTTGGCTATTCATTTAAAATCAAGATTCATAGTCACATTTGTTGCCTGTACAGAGGCTGATATAGTTTTTCTGCACAAGAGGGGGTTTCAGTGAAAATAGGAAAATTTATTTTTTTAATATTTTGTGCACAATTTTACTGTTTTTCATTCTTCTTATATCTATTTTGGTTTTAGGTTGAAAAATATAAAGCTGCTAATCAGAGAGCCAAACAAATTCTAGAGAAGGTATGCAGATTTTCCCCTGCCTCGTAAATATCTTAAGCTCTTGTCAAATGGGAGCATATTGTCATAAATTTGACTATAAAATTTGTTGTAATTACTTGGGTAAAAAGTTTATTTTGATATGGTAGACCTAGAAATCTATTAAAATAAGCTAGTAAGAGCCTACGGCAGTCATGAATTTAAATTAGCTCCAAATAAGCTCTTCCAAATGACTGCATGATATTTCATGTTATTATTTGAAAGTTTGTTCTTTGGCTGCTGATGACTATAAATCTTTTAAACAAGTATGGTGCAACTCTAATGGAAGTAGATATTGATGGATCGCTGTCATATCCAGAACCCCAGATGACGGTAAAGGACAGTGGTAATGTTGTTTCCACAAATTTAACTCATTTTTTTTTTTCTCAATATGTAGACAGTAATGTGTCTTTTGATCTTGTAATTGTTTTCAAAGTGTTTCATTACATTTGCCCCTCTGATTGTCTGTGCAAATTTCTGTTTTTACTGTTTACAAGGGTAGGTTTTTATGTCAGGTGAGAAGCATTCTCGGACAAAACCTCTTAGTATTGAAGAAGAACAATGCATACGAGTATTTTTTGAAAACAAGCTACAAGAAGTATGTAACAATTTCCGCTTCCCTCACAAGATCCAGGTATGCAAGCTGTCCTCCAGATATTATAAATGTAATTGTGAAGCAGTCTGAGCTTATGAGATTATATTAGGGCATTACTGTTTTCTATTATCATTTTTTTAATTAGTTTGTGATATACAGGCAACGGCCCTTATCTATTTTAAAAGATTCTATCTGCAATGGTCGGTGATGGAACATCAACCAAAACATATTATGTAAGATGATTGCACCTGGTGCGCTGCCTACATGATGTGGATTAGTCATTAGTTTTTTCTTTTGATTAATATTTTTATCTTTTTGAACTAATTCTTTTTTTATGGTTTGGTTTGAGTGATTACCTTATTGTTGGATTTTATGATTTATTTTTCAATTTATTTATTTATATGTGAGCTTTTCAGTATGTCAGATTGAATTTTCTCAGGTTGACCTGCATATATGCTGCTTGTAAGATAGAAGAAAATCATGTGTCGGCTGAGGAGCTTGGTAAGGGGATTTCACAGGATCATCAAATGATTCTCAATAATGAGATGATAGTTTATCAGGCATGGATAGGCCCCAAATAACATAAGTGATCTTTTTTTTTTTTTTTTGTTCATCTATGACATGAAACCCTTGTTTTGCAGAGTTTGGAATTTGATCTAATTGTTTTTGCACCATATCGCGCGGTTGAAGGTTTTATAAATGATATGGAGGTTGGTCTGATTGGCCTTAGTGGGATTTTTTTTTTAAATGTTAAATTTTTTAAAATTATTTTTGCATCTGAGAAAGTCAACAAGTATCCCTCTTTATATTTTTTCTGGCCTAGTAATTTCATGACTTGGCTGATATAAAATGTATTGTTTTAGTGATTTTATTTTATGCTAAAAGTTTTATCTATCGGCATAGACAGGAATTCTGCAGTGCTGGTGATGATCAGCTTCAAATGCTCGAGGTACTTATATTCCTATTGTTCAACAGAATTGATTGATATCTTGCTGAGCATATTGTTGTGACTTTGAGCAGATGGAACTCTTTTTTTGTTTTTTATTTATTTGTAGGCTGTAACATTCCCTCCCTCCCACCCCCAAATTTGTGACTATTAGAGGTTATTTTGACTATTATGTGTGTATTGATTGGTTCTCCTTTAATCCCTTCTCTCACGGAGCAATGTTTTGTATCTGTTTAACCATTGTTCTTCCCTAGTTATAAAACTTAATGCATCCTCTTTATTTGGGCATGTTCATCGGCTTATGATAATTTTGTGTTGATGTTATATAGACTTTGCAAAAGACAGCAAGATCGGAACTTGATAAAATGATGCTTACAGATGCACCACTTTTATTTCCTCCTGGGCAGGTATTCTAATGATAATTTCTCTCTCTCTCTCTCTCTCTCTCTCTCTTTATATATACACTTATAATCTCTCCCTATATATAGAGAGACACCCTTGTAGAAGAGTGTTTTTGTTACTAACAGCGGCCACAATACAAATATTCCTTGTTCTGTCTTGCCTTTACCAAGGTGTTAAAATACAAAATAGCATCTTTTATAATTAATTTAAGTCGGTGTATGAGCCGAAATCAAGTAATCATGTCACAAATCACAATCTAGGCTAGTGAAAATAAATGAACCAAATTTCAGAAAGGGTTTAGGAAATATGCTTTATGTATCGATTAAACATTATCATTACTTTTTTAACTTCAGTTGATTATTTCAAAATTGGAAATATGCTTGCCAGGTTTCCTATATCATCATCAAAACATAAAAAACCTAAGCTGTACTTCTCGGTTACTGATTTGCAACTAAAAATTTTCTAGTCAATCTAGTTTCAAGATTCTAATTCAAATTTTTAACCATTTTACTTCAAAATCTGACCTACCTGTTTGTGTCTTCTGATGCAGTTAGCCTTGGCTGCTTTGGGCAACTCAAATGCAGTGCATAAAGTCATTGACTTCGATAGGTACTAATAATTGCTTCACTTGTTTATTTACGATATTTATTCTGACCCTTTCCCCTGTTTTTTTGCCTTTTATTAGCTGTTACAAAATCATGTATCGAAATGACCTGCCTGAGATGTGTTATTGTAGTATATTCACTCTTTACGCTGGCACTTAATTGCAGTTATCTTGAGAGCATTTTTTCCCGTCAGAATTGGACGCATACAATGACCGAGCTTACTGAATCACTACATGCAATTGATTCTTGTGTAATTGTTTCTCATTCTAGTATTTGTCATTAAACTGAACAACTGATGTGAAATTTCAAATTAGCTTTTTGTATTAGCCAGGAGTTTTCTTCTGTTTTACATTGTGGACTATCGTGGCATTGGTTATGTATGCAGGTTAGAAAATACAAAATTTCTTCCGAGAAGGAATTGAAACATATCAACCGAAAACTGAAGGCTTGTTGGGGTCATAACTCTCATGACGAGTACTTTCTTTAACCTTATACTTGATTACATTCGGGTACTACACATCCACCCAAAAGAAAAAACGTATTATCAAATAATAATCATTCTTGATTGGTTGACTACAAGTTGTTATAGTTTGTTACTTTCATTCTTGCATAGTTCGTTATTCCGCATAGCATTACACGTGTCAAGTGTGTTATGTAAGAGTGATTCCTTCATCCTTGTATAAATGACCATAACTTTTACTGTATTGAAGAGACAATGGAATCAATGAAATATTCATTCTTAGATGTTAACAAAGCTCCTTTGGCAGCTCTAGTGGCCAAACCAGTGATACTTTTTTTTTTTACCTTAAATCATGATGGCTAACCAGAACTCCACCAATTCCTCGAATCCTCTGTATTTTCATGCCCAATCTCCCTCACAAGCATTAGTCTCGCCGTCCTTAAATGGACGAAATTATCATGCATGGGCAAGAGCTATGAAGCTTGCCCTCCTCTCCAAGAACAAGCTGAAGCTTGTAGATGGTAGCATTCGTCCTCTGTCATCAATAAATGTGTTTTATGGATTGTGGTAGCGATGCAACAATATGGTACTCGCTTGGATTCATAGATCCAATGATGATTCCATTCTAGATTGATCAAGCATAAGAGGTATGACACGGTCTTCATGATCGTTTTTCTCTAGATGGTATCTTTAGGGTTTTTGATCATCAAGAAAAAAAATTTCTCATACAACAAGGCACCCACGCTCTCACTGTTAGTCAATATTTCACTCAATTAAAAAATCTATGGGATGAATTTGAGAATTACAGACCTGTTATCACTTGCAAGTGTTCAATACCTTGCACATGCGAAGCTACCCAATCATACAAAAAGTACAGAGATCAAAACTATGTTTTTCCTTTTCTTAAAGGATTAAATGACCAATTCTCACATGTAAGATCCCATATTATGCTTCTGGGTCCACTTCCTCTAATAAACAAGGTTTTCTCTCTAGTTGTCCAACAAGAAAGGTAAATGTCTACTACTGGAGTGATTAAGTCCTCATCCGATACAAAAATATTTGTTGTCAACAACAATCAATGTATTGGTTCTGGAAGAGGTCTTGTTGTCAAGTCAAACCAATATCTTGGATATGGCAGAGGTCGTGGAAATGCTAGTGGAGGTAAAGGTTGTAATACAACAGGAAGAGGTCAGATAGTCTCCAACAAACTGAGTACCCATTATGAAAGGACCAATCACACAATAGATACTTGTTATTTTAAGTATGGTTTTCCTCCTGGTTATAAGCCTAGATAAAACAATGCCAATGTTGTCATCTCAAATGATGCCATGGAAAGAGGCCTCAAACCTAGTTAGGAAATATTATCCCAAGTTTTGGTTTTACATAAGAGCAGTATCAAAGATTTCTTAACATGCTTCAATAATCCAACTTAGGTAGCCAGAACACTTCCAATCTTTCCCACTTGGCCTATACCACAACTTTAAACACTCATTCCCCTTCTCTAGCAGGTATACGATGTGATCAATGGATCCTTGATATAGGGGTCACTGATCACATGACTTTTAACCTTGCAATTTTCTCACATTTTCTGAAATTTCACCTATACTTATTACCATACTTGATGGATCCAAAATTCATGCAAAGTTTTATGGTATTGTGCAACTTTCCTCATTTTTAACCTTAAGTAATGTTTTATACATACCTTAATTCAAGGTCAATTTGATATCTGCTGCAAAATTAATTGTTTAATCCAATTGTTATCTTGTTTTTAATTTTGATTTTTGCTATATCAAACAGACCTTCAGTTGGAAGACAATTGGTATAGCTAAGAAGTTACATGATTGTATGTTGATTTCTCAAGTAGAGTTAAACCGTCACCAATTAAACCCGTTTCTTTATTCATGTAACACAACTTCTACACAGTTTGGCATCTGCGACTTGGTCATGTGTTAGATTCAAAAATAAGATTAATGTATACACAATTTCCCATGGTAACCTTCCACAATTCCTACCCTTGTGATATATGTCGATTTGCTAGGCAAAGGAAGCTTTCTTTTGTTTGTAGTACGACTAAATCAAATTTTTTTTTTTATCTTTTACATGTTGATATTTGGGGACCATGTTTCATTACCTCTAATATGGGTTAAGGGTTATAAATATTTTTTAACTATCATTGATGATTTTTAGTTTACATGGTTAAATTAATGAAACATAAAGGTGAAACCAAATATCACTTGAAGAATTTTGTTAATTACATAGAGACAGAATTTAATGCAAAACTTAAGGTAATTTGAAGTGATAATGGACCAAAATTTTTAATGACAAATTTTTATCTTGTGTTCTGTTGAAAGTCCCACATCACCTACCTCATGTCATTTGGTATGATTTAAATACATGTTAGGCTACTCCACATATTGCCAATTGGTTTTATGTTGGAACCTTAACATGGTATCAGAGCCAAAGCCTAACATCTTTCCGGTTATTGTCATGGGCCAAAAGTTGCCCTTTAGTTGGGTAAAAAAGTACCCTTTGCCTGGTCCGACAGGCTTTGTTGGAGGGGGTGTGTTGAAAGTCCCACATCGCCTACCTCATGTCATTTGGTATGATTTAAATACATGTTAGGCTACTCCACATATTGCCAATTGGTTTTATGTTGGAACCTTAACAATTTAGGAACGAGTGTTCTGACTTCATATCCGCTATGATAACATTGTTAGGGTCAATTCCCACATATGAGGTATTGTCCGCTTTGGAGTTCTCGTCCGTCATGGTTTTAACCTTAAAAAGTGCTTAAGTAGGTTAAGAGAGAAGAATATTTATAAACTACCCTTAGTCTTGACTTCTAAGCGATGTAGAACTCATGAACATACCAGAACATAAGCCCTCAATCGAGGATTAAGGGATATGTATGACTGGAGTGTGACCTACTTTCGGCCCCATGGTGGGCGCTAATGTTCCGTCTTGGAACGAGTGTCCCGCTCTCATATCTGCTATAATAACATCGTTAGGGTCAATTTCCACGTCTGAGGTATTGTTCGCTTTGGAGTTCTTGTCCGTCACAATTTTTTTCTTAAAATACATCTCAGTGAGTTAAGAGAAGGGAATGTATATAAATTACCTTTAGTATTGATTCCTAAGCTATGTAAGACTCATGCGCATACCAACATCTTGTAAAGAGAATTTTTCATCAAACTACATGTGTTGAAACACCTTAACAAAATGGTATAGCTGAACAAAAACATCATCATATCATGAATGTTGCTCGGGCATTAATATTTTAAACTAATTTACCGAAATCCCTTTGGTCTTTTGTTGTCATACACTCAGTTCATCTCATTAATAGATTACCCACACCTTTATTACAAAATAAGTATCCTTATGTTGTCTTTTATAAAACAAACTGACTTGAATCATTTAAGAGTTTTTGGTTGTTTAGCCTATTCAACTACTTTGGAACATGGTCAAAACAAATTGTCTCTAAGGGTACTTGTTGTATAATATTCAATCTAGACAATTTTTTGTCTCAAGAAATATGGTTTTTTATGAAACTTCTTTTCCATTCAAATCAAATCTTGCACCTTTAGATATAGATGATCTCACAACGTTTTCAACTCCAGAGAGTGTAGACAACTCAAATCCAATTACTGATATAGCACCACACCTCATTGTTCCACAACCACTTAAACACTCCATGCGACAAAGGCCACGACTACACTACTTGAGGGATTATCACTACAATTTGTTTGGTATCATCAATATCGATATGTCATCTAGTAATAATCCTTCCTTAGTATATTATCTTTTATGTGCTTTTCTTTCTTATGAAAAATGCTCTTCCAATAGTAGGAATTTTTGTTATTTAGTATCTTCCATTGAACCTAAAACATATAGTCAAGCTTCTAAAATGGACTGTAGGATGCAAGCTATGAATTTTGAGATTATAGCTCTTGAACAAAATTATACTTCGGTGATGGTTGATCTTTCTTCTGGTTAAAATCCTGTTGATTGTGAATGGGTTTATAAGATCAAATTCCATGTTGATGGTAGCATAGAAAGACATAAAACCCAATTAGTAGCTAAGGGGTTATACACAACTTGAAGGAGTATATTATTTTGACACTTTCTCTATTGTTGCTAAGGGTCATCCCTTCCTTAGCTTATGCGAAAAATTAGTTTATTGAATAGTTGGACGTTAATAATGCTTTTTTGCAAGACGAGTACATGAAGTTTACATGAATTTGCCCCCGGTATGACATCCTATCATCCAAATAAGGTCTATAAATTGAGAAAATCATTATATGGGTTGAAACAAGTTACTAGATAGTGGTATGCCAAGCTCACCACAGTCTTATTAACCCTTAAATTCACCTAATCTTTAGTTGATCATTCACTCTTCATAAAACATAAAGGGGTGTGTTTCTGTGCATTACTAATCTATGTTGATGACATAGTTCTTGGTGGCCATCTTCGTTATTTTTTAAGCCTTGAAATATCATGTTCTTCTAGAATTGTGGTCAAAATAAGAGAAAATATGCTTTAGAGTTGTTGGAAGAGAATGGCATGCTTGCTGCCAAACTTGTTTCCACTCCTATGAAGCCCTCTACCAGATTAAATAGCTCTTTAGACACTCGATTATTTGATCTTCAAGCTTATCGCAGAATAGTTGGTTAGTTGATGTGCCTTACAACCACCAAACTAGACTTGGCTTGTCACTCAACAACTGAGTCAAAACGTATCTCAATTCATGGATTCTCATCATTGTGCTGCCATGAGAGTCCTTTGCTATATCAAAGATTCTCTTGCTAAAGGTCTTCACTTTGCCACAAGCTTATCTCTGATTCCTTCTAGTTTTGTTGATTCTGATTGGGTATTGTGTGGGAACCCAAAAGTCTATAACCGGATGTTGTGTCTTGGTTTTTCCTTAATTTTTTTGAAAACTAAGAAGCAAAAAACAATATCTTGTTCTTTATCCGAAGTTGAATATAAAGCTCTTGCAACTCTAAGTTGTGAATTACATTAACTTCACTACTTATTGACTGAATTACAAGTTCCTCTTGTTGCTCCAATTTTAGTGTTCTACGACAATCAATTTGCTATTATATACTTGGCTCACGGTCCTACATTTCATGAGTGCACAAAATATATAGAGATTAACTGTCATGTCATACGTGAGAAAATTCAAAGTGGTCTTCTTTATTTGTTAACTATTCCTTCTTGTGCCCAACTAGTTGAATATTCACTAAAACTCTTCATCCTAGAATCTTCACACAATGTGTTTCCAAGCTAGGACTGTTAGACATTCATAGAGGAGATATTATCTGTTAAGGTTCCAACATAAAACCAATTGGCAATACGTAGAGTAGTCTAATATGTATTTAAACCATACCAAATGACCTGAGGTAGGCGATGTGAGACTTCCAACACGCCTCCTCTAACGAAGCCTGTCGGACAAGACAAATGGTACTTTTGACCCACAACGAAAGGATAACTCTTGGTCTAAGACAATAACTCGAAAGATAATTAGGCTTTGACTCTAATATCATGTTAAGGCTTCTACATAAAATCAATTGACAATATACGAAATAACCTAATATATATTTAAACTATACCAAATGATATGGGACTTCCAATATTATCAAATAATAATCTTTCTTGATTGGTCCACTACAAGTTGTTATAGTTTGTTATTTTCATTGTTAAAGTTATCTTCAATCCTGCATAGTTCGTTATTCCGCATAGCGTTATTTGGGTCATATTTGTTATGTACGGATTCCTTCATCACAGCTTTTACTGTATTGAAGAGATAATGGAATCAATGAAATATTTATTCTAAGAAAAAATTTTATAGAGAAAATTGCACTGTACAATTAATAACTGTGGCCTTGTTTACAGGGGCAAGAAGCGGGAGAAGAAATCAAAGCACAAGTCCAAAAGGAGCTCAAATGAAGCACAAAATATGCCATCTCTTGCCTAGCTATGTATTCATTCCAAATGGATTGGAACTTTTTAGTTTTTTTTTTTTTTTGCTTACGATGGATGACTATTGTCTCAGCCGATAGATAACGTTATCCTCATCCAATATATGCAAAGAGCGTTTGAGGGCAAGGAATCTTTTGAAAATTCCTTCCGCCTGCTTACTAGTGAGAGTCTAATTTTGTTGCTTCAATTCCATTTGTATTTTGTCCGACATTTTCCTTGGAAACGATCAACAAATATTTTCCTCTAAAGTTTTATCTCTGCGACAAACTATTAATTATGATAGCCTATGTCGTATATCTTTCTTCCCAAATGAAGTACAGTATAGTCTTAATTGTTTAAATGTTTCCCCCCACACGTCGGATCATCTAAAAATGAAATTATTACTTTTAACTTCGAACATCGGAGTGTTTATGAATCAATATTTTGTTAACAGTTGCTTTTATGTGATCTGAAGTTAATTTTTTTTAATTGATGAATTGGTTCACTTTACACCTTCTATTCCTCGTGTTAACAATTTTGAAAACCCTTGTCTATCTCTTTTTTTTGTCTTTAATTTATTTTAGTCACGAAAACCGTTTTATTTAAATCTGACAAATTTATGAATGTTTCTTACTAATATGCATAATTTTATATTGAGTTTTGTCTAGTATTAGGTGAAACTGTAGTTGTGTAATATGAGTATGAATGTACCATTACATCAGTTTGAGTGACTGTATATAAAAATGGTTTTCCAATTTGCAAAAATATGACTTCCATTCCAAAAATTTTACAATTCCAAAATTAGTTTCTGGAATTATTTCATATATTTCTATATCTGACACATTCACTTATTTTCAAAATAAGGTTTTGGAAATTATTCTCCCCAAAAGGAATAACACGATCTACATTGGCCCAACCTAACACGAGCAAAGATTGGGCTGTCCTATCAGAAGGGATGGTTCTCCCTTGAGCGAATGCTAGTTGGCGAACGTTCCGGCAGGGTCCGAACGCGAATCCTCCAAATTCAAAATGGCTTGCTTAGTCTCCGCCTTCACCCTTCCTCTGTGTGCTTCACCACCCAACAAGGTAATTCTTGACCTTTTCTCTTTCAACGCATAACATAAAATAACCCTAACTTTCTTGAATTCTCGTTGAAGTATCTTTTTCCATTAGTACACCATTTTGAACTTCCAAACTTCACTTCTAACATTCCGTACCCATTGCGCACATGCTAAAAAAGCTAACCAAATGAATATTCACACCTTTGATGACTCCGTTATCTTTTGCGTAAAACCCATTTTCGTTCCACAATGTACCAAAGCTTACACTGTCGTTCGTTTGTTCTACTAGTCCATTTTATTTTGCTTTTCGTAATTCTTTTCCTTTTCCATTTCCGTGTACTGTCTCTTATTAGATCTCAAAATGGATGAATAATTCCAATTTCTATTTCCGTGTGATATTGTGAATGAACTTGACAATTCTACTTGCATGACAACTCTATCCTGCGCAACTTGCTTTTGTTTCTGTGATGCTGTTTTTTCTTATTAGATACTGGAACGAAATTGCTCTCCTCTCTTTGTATATTCATGTTCAATAATATGTTGTTACTTTCGATGACTTACCAGCCCGGAGTGCGTCAACATCGATTAAATTTTGCTCTGGATAGACTTTTAAGCAAAGCCACGATTCGTACAGGTTTTTCATTTCGACCTCTCACTTAATTACCTTGTGCTTCTCCGTTATCGATAAAACTGTTGGGTTATGCTAGCTTATTGGAAGTGAAATATTTGCTTTTGGGGTGGAATTACTGCAGCCATCAAATTGCTAGGTTGGATTAGAGTTTTGAATCTGCATCTTAGTCGCACACTTTTAAATGTGAACGGAAAAGAAATATTTGGAAGGTGTTATAAACCTCCAGGTAATAGAGGTAAATCATCTGTGAGGAAGAAGGTTAATGAAATAAAAGGGTAAAAAGAAAAGCCAAATGTTGTGAATTAAAAGGTGACCTATCTCATTCTGACAATCTCCCTCACTCTTAAAAGACAAAGTAAAGGACAAACAGAAATCTTGGATTTTTGAAACCTACGTACCATATATACATGGTTTAGCTTTTCTTCAATTCTGTGAAATATATAATACTGAAGTGTTCTAAGCAGCATGCTGATACAAAGTTTTATCTTTTTCTTTTAGATTGTTAATTCTATAGTAATATTGCTCTTGGCTTGGCTTCCTTGGACACGAATTTATTTCAGATTTCATAATTATCCTGGGTCCATTCTTGGCAGGGCTAATTTCCTTCTAGATATATGTATCCTCTGCTACCCCCGTCCTCCAGGATTTATATGTTTACCAGAAACGTTCATGGCGAGATGCTGTGATGAATATTATAAATTATAAAGCAAAGTTGGAATCTGAATAGTTTTTTATCATGATGGGTACACTAACATCCACATAACCATTGTGTCTATCATACATATATTTGTGATAGCTTCATCTTCAACTTCAACTAAGAAAACAAACATAGGCAACTTTTGGAAGTTATATGACAATCTTTTTGGGAGTGTTTTGAATAGTTTCATCATGTTTGTGTACTCAAAATGTTTATTTTAATCTCACAGTGTATACTATATTTGCAGCTCAAAAAATTATTGGATCTAGCAGTTCAAATAAAAACACACTATCCTTGAAAGGAAGCTGTCACCGTTGTTTGATGTCATGCACAAAAATTCTACATGAAACTTACGTATATAATTTGAATGTAGATTGTTGTACTGAAATAGTTATATCTGGATATTGGGTGGGACCTGATGCTGATGATGGGTGGGGATTTGTGGAAGCTGTAATTAATCAAATGAATTGATCCTTATTTTTTTTTACTTCGTTTTGATAAGGGTTGATTTTGCTTCAATTTTATCAAATATGTAAGTGGCTGTGTGTCTCTCGGTAAGCCGAGTACAGGCTTCATAAACTAACCAATGTTTTGGAAAATTGAGTATCATGTATAAAAGAATACTGGAGCGGTAATATCTAATTATTGATGCAGTTAGTGAAGGCTTGATGGATGGGTTTTGGTGTGCATGTTTGATCTGTGAATTATTTTAGGTATCTTGTCCGAAACTGTAGTTGACGAAAATTGAACTTGAAAACAATATCACGTATTTGGATAGTCTGCCGTAGTTGACTGAACTTAAATCTAGTAAAAATATTATTATTTACTATCGGTATCAATGTTTTTTTATCACTGAATTTGAATTGGTCTGAATTGTCGTAGAAGTCTCAACGCGAATATCGAAATGAAGCATTCATCCATGACGGTAATTAGTGTAGCGTGGTCAATGTCAAAATGTGGTTACAGACAGAATTTGAGGCTCAAGGTGTTTTTAATTTGAAAGCAATTAGGCATGATTGTTGAAACAGTCGGTGGAAAGTGATGAACGGAAAAAATGCAGTGTGCAACTGAAGAATAGAAACAAAATGAAAACAGAAGACGATTAAATATCTCTCAGCTCTCTCTTTTTATTTTTTATATACTTGTTTTGAATTTTTGTTTTTGAATGAAAAATCGCTGGATGATTTTTTTTGGTGACATATGATAGAGCAGTGAAAACCAAAAGAAATCTGCAAAGAATATTACATTCTCAGGAATTGCTGCCTAATAGCATCAGCAAGCAGCAACCCTTGCATGTTTGTTGGTGGCCTATGCAAAACCACAAACCAAGCTCCAGAATCCATCCCAAGTTTTGCATGAAAATCGAGACATATATTTCCTTTCCTCAATGTGTGGACGAGTTTGAGCTTTCTAATCCTCCTTTAAAAAAACTTTGATGCTATAATAGAAGCATATCTATCAATATATTGAAATTGGTTTAGAAAATAAATTATAAAGAAAGTCCAAAGATAATTAAACCTTCTCATTGATTTGGTTTCTATCAACTCATGGAGTCTCTAGTACATATTTTCTATCCTACAAGCAACCTTATACCTCGTTGGAGACCCTGATATGCCATGAATGAAATAAATTAATTACTTTTTGTTGTTTTAATAAAATACCCGAAACCCTACCAGAATTGATCCAATTTGAGTTATGTTTGGGTTGCCCATCCTAAAAACATATAACCTAATCCAATTTTGTTGCTTGCTTGGTTCGAATTTCTGAACAATTCAACGCGACTAAAGTTACACCCTTACTTCTGACGGGTATGACCTATAAAAGTTTGCACAACGATAGAATAGTGATTAAGGTACACCCAAATATTTGAAGACGTTGTTTGATACCTACTAAAACAAGAACTAAATGCAAAAGACACCTTGCTTGTTAGTTTAAAATTAAAAATGCTAGATGACAGTGATAAACTGTTGCGTCTGTTTTAGTTGTTCCCTCTCTCTCTCTCTCTCTCTCTCTCTCTCTCTCTCTCTCTATATATATATATATATATATATATATATATATTTTTTTTTTTTTTTCTAATTTTCCTTTTTTTCAATATATATCTTTTTTAAATAATATTAGTTTTTTTTTCTCTGTTCCTTTTCTTCCTCTTTTTGCTTCATTCTCTCTTACACCTTCTGCTATATTTTTTTCTTTTATCTTTCTCTTGTTTGTTCCCTTTTATCATGAGGAAAAATATTCTTATGGTATTATAGCTCTTCTGTGGAGTTATGCTGCTGGTCCTCTTACCTATTTTCTTCTTTTCTTTATTTGTCTTTTTGTTTCTTTGTCCTTTTTATGTTTCTTTCACGACAGATCATTCAAATGAAAATAACTATTGTCTTTCTGGTTCTTGATGCAACTAACTATCATTTATGAGGTCGATTCATGGTTATCGCTCTAAGCGCAAAGAACAAAATCTTGTTCATCCTCAACAATGTGCAACAACCTGGAAAAGAAGACCCAAAACATTCAACTTGGAATATGTGCAATTATATGGTCGTTTTGTGGTTAGTGCACTCCGTTTCTGTTTCGATACGCCAGAGTACTATATGGATGAACAACACTTATGATATTTGGAGTGATTTGAAGAGCAAATACTCGAAAGGTGAACTCCCCTGTATCTTAGATCTACAAATGGAGTTTGCAACCCTTCACCAAGGTGATCTTAGTCTCTCCAAATATTTTACCGAATTGAGAGTGATATGGAGCGAATTTGACAGTTTAAGACCTGGCCTAATCTGCATTTGCGAATCCAAATGTACTTGCAAGATTTCAAACATTATAAATCAAAGGCAAAAGGAAGATCGTGTTATGCAATTCTTACTTGGCTTGAACAACCAATATAATAACGTAAAAACACACTTATTGCTTATGGAGGCCATCTATAGTTTTTTCCTTAGTTGCACAACAGGAAATACAACTATCAAATGGAGGAATGATTGTTGTTGTCAAAGGTAATCAAAACACTGCTTCCACCATTTGTAAGTATTGTTGCAAAATTGGCCACACTGAAAATGTTTGTTTTAGGAAAAACGATTTCCCTAAAAGATAACAAAGCTTTCAAAGGCACTAACACCAAGAAAGTTTGCACCCGTTATGGAAGAACAAGTCATATAGTTGAAGTGTGTTATAAAAAGCATGACTATCCATAATATCAAACAGTCTCAAATTCACAACATCAATGTTCAAGAAGAAGGTGATAAAAAGATAAAAGATCCATTGAACTTGGGGATGTTTGTATTACTCAGCAGCAATTTCGGATCCTGAAAGATTTTTAAGCAAACCAATATCAACCATTTGCATACTCAAGCCAATAACGTAGGATCGATCTTATGCGATCATTCTCCTACTCGTAATATCCACTTTACTTCTAACTTTCAAAGAATTTTAAAAGTTTGTGTATTCTTGATTCAGATAGGAAAAAACATCATAAAGAACATTATTATTTATCCTCAAGAATTACTCTACTAATAGATAAATAAGAGAAAAATAATCAACACAAGAATATAACGTGGAAACTCCAAAAATCAAAGAAAAACCACGACCAGAGAATAATCACTATATGAAAATTTTTACACTATATGAAAAAATCAATACAAGAATATAACGTGAATAACACTATATGAAAATTTTTACAACACATAGACAACTCTTTCATGTCCTTGACCCCAAGTACACCCACACTCTCCAAAGTAAGAATTTAAATTAAACCTCACAACACTCTACTACAAGAGTATAAAAAAAGTCAAATATAAACTTAAAGTGTCTTTGATTGGGGTGAGAAACCTCATGGACTTTAAGTTCATTATATATCTACTATCACTCACTTCATTGCTTATCCAATGCGATGTGAAACTTTTCAAGATGTAATATTTTCATCAACCCAATAATCTCCACCATGATTAAAATAAACACATCTTCCTTTTTATCTTCATTTCCTACACCAGCAATCATCCATACTCCACCATAAAGAGTATACTCACTTGAAATTAAACCATTCCAAGAATTTTCTTTCACTGCACACCTAAATGCTAACCAACGCCCGTGTATAATAATCATCACACACATTGCATCAATATTAGCCAATGCTCTTGCACAATTACTGCTAGCAAAAAACTCATCATTTTCCATGACAACGCGGTTATGACATAAGGATACTTAACTCATCTTTTTTCAAAAGATCACTCTCTCCCAACATGAGAGAGACAGTCTTTGAACCTGACTTACAGTTTTGTGATGTTTTTTCACTTGGACAATTTTTCTTTACATGCACAGACTTTCTACATTTCCAGCATACCACATTCTTTCTATGGTTCTTGTTCCCATGTGTCCCACTTCTAACAGTCATCATTGAGTTTGCTGGCATGCTTGTCATTCTTCTCTCTTCAGAAAGAATCTTACCAGCAATTCCATCAAAGCTCAAAGTTTCCTTACCAAACATCAAGAAAGGCTTGATAAGCTCATAGGAAGACGGAAGAGACCAAATGAGTCTTAATGTTATATCTTCTTCTTCAATCTTGACTCCAATAACTTATAATTCAGAGACAATCTCATTAACATTACTAATATGATCAGAGACTTTCGTATCATCACCTATGCGTAAGTTATAAAACTTCTTCTTCAACAACAATTGATTTGAGATGCCCTTTGATTGATATAACATTCTTGTCGTTGGCATCTGTTGCACATTTGCAAGAACATTCTTGGCCAAACACAAGCGAATTGCACTTACAGCTCTCAAATCTAGTTCCTCCCATTTCTCTTCCTTCATGTCAGAAGTTCTTTCTTTTAACACCTTGTGTAATCCAGATTGTATAAGCACATCTTTGACTTGAGTTTGCCATAAGCCAAAATGAATCCTTCCATCAAATTTCTCTATGTCACATTTGACACAATTGCAAATGATATTTCTATTTTGGCAATCAAGGATGATTCTCTAGTAAGAAGGAATTAATCTTTTCTGATGTGAAAAATCATATTAAGCTGCAACCACAGAGTATACTAAGAAAAATCTTACTGAACCATAAGCTCTGCTACCACTCTGATGGGAAAAAATGTCATAAAGAACATTACCATTTATCCCTGAGAATTACCCTACTAATAGATAAATAAGAGAAAAACAATCAACACAAGAATATAACGTGAAAACTCCAAAAAACCGGAATATAACATGGAAACTCCAAAAATCGGAGAAAAATCACAACTGTTATCTAATGATAACCAGAGAATAACACTATATAAAAATTTTTACAACACATAGACAACTCTTTCATGCCCTTGACCCCAAGTACACCCACAATCTCCAAAGTAAGAATTTAAATTAAACCTCACAACACTCTACTACAAGAGTATAAAAAAAGTCAAATATAAACTTAAAGTGTCTTTGATTTGGGTGAGAAACCTCATGGACTTTAAGTTCATTATATATC